ATCCCGTTAGACGCCTTTTACGACAAGCATAGTCGCCTTTTACGGCAAGTATGGGTTGCTGAAGACCTATTCTACCCCGGAATCTCCACGGGTCCATAATTATTGAGGGCGCCGCATATCAATGTATAGATAAAGTGTCTCTCACTTTTATACTTGTACACACAGATACAACAACAAACTACTCCTAATCAGTGTCCAAAATGCGGGTAAAGATGGCTGTTAGGCATCATTTGATCTAAATGGTATGTATCCACACCCATTCCCCCCCCCACCCCCCCCCCCCCCACCCCCACCCCCCCCCCCCCCCCCCGCGCTCCCATATTTACCCCTACCACCACCGCTACCTTACAGTATCAGAATAGGAAGGTCTCTCAGCATTAAATTTTAGTGGCAGGATATGGTAAGCGTAATTTCTAAAAAACGTAACGGTATTATTTTCACTGCATCAGAACTGGTTGATGGCAACACATGGCCCATGGCTACCCAAATAATTATATAATATTGGCTTTCACAGGCGTAAAATTGTCAGCGTGTATATTTTTCAAAATTATGTATTATATAATATTTGAGATCTAAACTTATAAATTCCAACATGACACTGACATGGTCCCAGCTTGCAAAGGTAATAACATATACAAGTTATGCTTTTAGGGTTTATGGATTAGGCATAACTTTGTGTTTTCATCTGCGGTGAGGTAAGGTGAAACGTGAAGTTTTACTTGTATAGCGACGTGCCTGCATTGAAACACGTTTAAACATGATTAGAATTGAAACACATTGAAACATGATTAGAATTGAAACACATTGAAACATGATTAGAATTGAAACATGTTAAACATGATTAGAATTGAAACACATTTAAACATGATTAGAATTAAAACACATTGAAACATGATTAGAATTGAAACACATTTAAACATGATTAGAATTGAAACACATTGAAACATGATTAGAATTGAAACACATTTAAACATGACTAGAATTGAAACACATTTAAACATGATTAGAATTGAAACATGTTAAACATGATTAGAATTGAAACACATTTAAACATGATTAGAATTGAAACACATTTAAACATGATTAGAATTGAAACATGTTAAACATGATTAGAATTGAAACACATTTAAACATGATTAGAATTGAAACATGTTAAACATGATTAGAATTGAAACATATTTAAACATGATTAGAATTGAAACATGTTTAAACATGATTAGAATTGAAACAATTTGAAACATGATTAGAATTGAAACACGTTTAAACTTTATTAGAATTGAAACACGTTTAAACATGATTAGAATTGAAACATGTTTAAACATGATTAGAATTGAAACACGTTGAAACATGATTAGAATTGAAAAACGTTTAAACTTTACTAGAATTGAAACACGTTTAAACATGTTTAGATTTTCAAATTTTCAACATGTTTCAAGTTTGAAGTTTGCTAGAATTTTATACACGTTCTATTGCTCCCACCCCCTCCCTCCACCCATAATTGATCCAGTTACACTGCTACCCCCCCCCCCCCCCCCCCCCCCCCCACACACACACACCTCCTACACACACACACACACTTCTGCATCCCCATTAAACGCTTCAAAACCCACAGAAAACGCCTCATTTCAAATTACCTGCAATGAATTTCAAGGGCATTTTCCCGATACAAAGGAGTTGACTGACTGTAAAAGTCCAGTTACCACTCTTATAAATACTGTCAGATAGCTCCCTTGACTCGGGAAGATGTTCAAGGGGACATACGGGTATTTCTTGCATTTAGACCATAAACATGCAAGCTGTTGAAAACAATTCTAAACATGTCAAAAGCAGGGTATGAAACTCCCAAAAATTTCAGCCAGACCACAGGACTGGCTAGCTGAAATACTTGCCAGCCCTGAACAAAACCTGCCTGCCCACTATAATCATATGTTTCTCAGGATAAGCTAACGGGGTTTCTTTTTGGTTACATTTTATCATTCATCTTTACATGTGAATTAATGCTTATCATCGGGAAATATTTTGAATATTTTCACATATGAAATATAACCCGACCGTCGGGCAGTGGGATTTGAAAATCTGGCAGCCAGAGTTGAAATCATCCCGTCTCGGACGGTCGGGCAGGCAGGTATTTCGAACACTGGTCAAAAGAATGTGTGCAGGTTTGTGTTTGGGATCTAAGCACATTTTTTACAGCGAAGATCCAGATGAAAATACAGATTCCAGATCCACAGATGCAATTTTCTAAATAGTTTCAATTTTATTGATTTGCTGTCAAAAACGCCTGTTGTTTAATACGGTGGATGTGTGTCCCGTGCACCAGATGTACATACTATTAGATAATCCACTAAACTTATACCTAGATCGGCATGGCGGCACAGGTTACAGATCAGATGGAGTAAAGCAACGTCTGTGGCGGAGAGTAGTTGGATGGGTGCCCGCGTTTGGCAGCTTGACTCTCGAGATTTTCCTCTCCCACACTGAAGCACAGGTGGTGTCTCCCATGTCACCTTGTCCCAGCAGTAAAACAGGTGAGGTGGTAATGTGACGGTTAACCTTCTCGCAGCTTAGGTTATACACTCCCCAGGGAGCTGTGAAATCCAGTGCACACGGATCCATTGACCGGGGTAATAATGTTAGCACTTTGAGCATGTATTGCACATGAATATAAGACAAGTGCAACAAACGCATTATTTTTATAATTAAGATCACGATTGCTACACGGGCCAGTTTCCACAAAATGTCCCCCATTTCATTTTCATTTTATTCTACCCATTCCTTATTATAGTACACAAAATAAGTGTTGTTTACAATAAGCGGATGTCTCTTATTTTCAAGGGCGCGTTGCAAGCCACGAATCACTTAGAGAAAGCAAAATAATCGCTCATCCCGGGGTCTGCAACAGTTCGAAGCTCTTGCGCACTCTTACAAAATGGCGGCGCATCTACCGCTTGGTTGCCTTGACGTAACGAAGAACGTAATAGAAGAGGCTCGATGACGAGCTGATGAAATTTATGACTACTTTGAAGATGTCGATCAGACTGAGGATGATGGGGTGTTAGCTGCCTTTGCTCATTTCCTCGTTGATCCAGTCAAGAATTTCTTGTTCCGCTGTCAAAGTCAGCCGCCGTTTTGGTTTAAGAACGAAGCGACCTCAGCCAGCGATTGTTTCGCTTGCAAGCGACTGTAGGTTAGCGCACTGTTGTAAGGCGAATCGCTGTATATCGCTTGCAAGCGATTGGCGCTTTGCAACGTTTTAAAGTTTTGTTTCACACTACGTTCCTCGCTGTCGAGTAGATCGTTATCAATGTAATTACTAGTGTGTAGCTAGGAGAAACGGTAAAAATGCATGTTTGTTAGTTTGTTGTTTAACGCTGCACTATATGACGACGGTATGTAAATAATCGAGTCTGGATCTGACAACCCAGTGACTGACATCATGAGCTTCGATCTACACAGTTGGTATACGATGACATGCATCAACCAAGTCAGCGAGCCTGACCACCCGATCCCATTATTCGCCTCTTACGACAAGCATGGGTTGCTGAAGACGTATTCTAAACCGGATCTTCACGGGTTTCATGCCATAACAGATTAACTATAGTAATAACACATTAACTATCTGGTGATCCTTTACTTCTTTTGAGTAGTATATAGCTACACCAGCAGTTTACTGTATCCAGGCATCGTCCTTCGCTACTGTACACACATCCCACAAGAATGAGTCATCATGGTAGTTAGTTGACCATATCTGACCCGCTTCATCATTATCAGGGAATCAGGTTGTGAAGCCAATTATTTAATATTCCCCGACCCGCGTCTGTATCTTCCTGCCTCTGCGTGTACTGGGGCTACGCTTAGGTAGGGCCCTGCTATCACTCCCAGGAAAGATGGTTTTTCATAAAGTCCTCAGCATTGTCTTAAAGTTTCTATAATCTCGGTTTCTGTAAAACACATTGGCAATTAGGAGATAAACATACTGTGTTTTAAAAATGGAGCTAGGTTACCTGTAGATTTAACCGCGCTAAATTGAATTTGGAACCGAACGCGTCTCCATTATGACGTCATATCGCTCATTGTGTCACAGCCGTATATAGAAAAACGCCCAAATCCGAGCTCTCTTTTGTCCCCAAAACTTAAACTACATTCTCTTTGTAGATGTCTATCGTGTTTCCTGCACGAAATGTATTGCCGCGCACCTTTTGAATATTAATGTAACAGCAACTTTGCATTTTGTAACCCGTAAGTGTAGATATGATTATTTAAATATGCCTACCGACAATGAATGAAAACAGTACTATTTTATGAATATTAGCTTCCGCGGTGATGCGGCCGTCAAACCAGCTGTTTCAATCAGAGGGGGGTTTATTGTGATTTAATTGGCCAGTCAGAATTGACAGAGATGGCGACATGTTGGTCGTTGACTGAGATGGGGACATGTTGGTCGTTGACAGAGATGGACATGTTGGTCGTTGACAGAGATGGGGACATGTTGGTCGTTGACTGAGATGGGGACATGTTGGTCGTTGACTGGTATGGTGAAATGTTGGTCGTTGACTGAGATGGGGACATGTTGGTCGTTGACTGAGATGGGGACATATTGGTCGTTGACTGGGATGGGGACATGTTGGTCGTTGACTGGGATGGCGACATGTTGGTCGTTGACTGAGATAGGGACATGTTGGTCGTTGACAGAGATGGGGACATGTTGGTCGTTGACAGAGATGGCGACATGTTGGTCGTTGACTGGGATGGGGACATGTTGGTCGTTGACTGGGATGGGGACATGTTGGTCGTTGACAGAGATGGCGACATGTTGGTCGTTGACTGAGATGGGGACATGTTGGTCGTTGACTGAGATGGGGACATGTTGGTCGTTGACTGAGATGGGGACATGTTGGTCGTTGACTGAGATGGGGACATGTTGGTCATTGAATGAAAACAGTACTATTTTATGAATATTAGCTTCCGCGGTGATGCGGCCGTCAAACCAGCTGTTTCAATCAGTGGTTTAGAGTGTGATTTAATTGACCAGTCAGAACTGACAGAGATGGGGAAATGTTGGTCGTTGACTGAGATGGGGACATGTTGGTCGTTGACAGAGATGGACATGTTGGTCGTTGACAGAGATGGGGACATGTTGGTCGTTGACTGGTATGGTGAAATGTTGGTCGTTGACTGAGATGGGGACATGTTGGTCGTTGACTGAGATGGGGACATGTTGGTCGTTGACAGAGATGGACATGTTGGTCGTTGACTGAGATGGGGGACATGTTGGTCGTTGACTGGTATGGTGAAATGTTGGTCGTTGACTGAGATGGGGACATGTTGGTTGTTGACAGAGATGGCGACATGTTGGTCGTTGATAGAGATGGCGACATGTTGGTCGTTGACAGAGATGGCGACATGTTGGTCGTTGCCTGGGATGGGGACATGTTGGTCGTTGACTGGGATGGCGACATGTTGGTCGTTGACTGGGATGGGGACATGTTGGTCGTTGACAGAGATGGCGACATGTTGGTCGTTGATAGAGATGGCGACATGTTGGTCGTTGCCTGGGAAGGGGACATGTTGGTCGTTGACTGAGATGGGGACATGTTGGTCATTGACAGAGAGGGCGACATGTTGGTCATTGACTGAGGTGGCGACATGTTGGTCGTTGCCTGGGATGGGGACATGTTGGTCGTTGACTGGGATGACGACATGTTGGTCGTTGACTGGGATGGGGACATGTTGGTCGTTGACTGAGATGGGGACATATTGGTCGTTGACAGAGATGGCGACATGTTGGTCGTTGCCTGGGATGGCGACATGTTGGTCGTTGACTGGGATGGGGACATGTTGGTCGTTGACTGGGATGTGACATGTTGGTCGTTGACAGAGATGGCGACATGTTGGTCGTTGGCTGAGATGGGGACATGTTGGTCGTTGACTGGTATGGTGAAATGTTGGTCGTTGGCTGAGATGGGGACATGTTGGTCGTTGACTGAGATGGCGACATGTTGGTCGTTGACTGGGATGGGGACATGTTGGTCGTTGGCTGAGATGGGGACATGTTGGTCGTTGATAGAGATGGCGACATGTTGGTCGTTGACTGGGAAGGGGACATGTTGGTCATTGACTGAGATGGGGACATGTTGGTCGTTGACAGAGATGGGGACATGTTGGTCGTTGACAGAGATGGGGACATGTTGGTCGTTGACTGAGATGGGGACATGTTGGTCGTTGACTGGGATGTGACATGTTGATCGTTGACAGAGATGGCGACATGTTGGTCTTTGGCTGAGATGGGGACATGTTGGTCGTTGACTGGGATGGGGACATGTTGGTCGTTGACAGAGATGGCGACATGTTGGTCTTTGGCTGAGATGGCGACATGTTGGTCGTTGACTGGGATGGGGACATGTTGGTCGTTGCCTGGGAAGGGGACATGTTGGTCGTTGACAGAGATGGCGACATGTTGGTCTTTGGCTGAGATGGGGACATGTTGGTCGTTGACTGGGATGTGACATGTTGGTCGTTGACAGAGATGGCGACATGTTGGTCTTTGGCTGAGATGGCGACATGTTGGTCGTTGACTGGGATGGGGACATGTTGGTCGTTGCCTGGGAAGGGGACATGTTGGTCGTTGACAGAGATGGCGACATGTTGGTCGTTGACTGTGTTTGGGACATGTTGGTCGTTGACTGAGATGGTGACATGTTGGTCGTTGACAGAGATGGCGACATGTTGGTCGTTGCCTGGGATGGTGACATGTTGGTCGTTGATAGAGATGGCGACATGTTGGTCGTTGACTGGGATGGGGACATGTTGGTCGTTGACTGGGATGGCGACATGTTGGTCGTTGACTGGGATGGGGACATGTTGGTCGTTGACTGAGATGGGGGACATGTTGGTCGTTGACAGAGATGGCGACATGTTGGTCGTTGCCTGGGATGGGGACATGTTGGTCGTTGACTGGGATGGGGACATGTTGGTCGTTGACTGGGATGGCGACATGTTGGTCGTGGGATGGTAGTGTGATGGGAGTGGGGAAAGGGAGGATAGGTTCGGGTGCGGATGGCAGTTGGTTGGGGGTGAGGATATGAGGATGGATTGGTGATAAGGGTAGGGTGCGGATTGGTGTGTAGCCTTGAATGTAGATTGTGAGAAGGTTTACCATATATACACCTAATATACCGAGAGTTGTGATATAGGACGCAGTGAAGGGAGGTGGCGGGAGTGGGGAGGGACACACCTATATAAATCTAGTTGTTTACAGAAGGATATGGAGCGGGTCAGAGACGCAGTCATCCTGGTGTATATGTCCTGGGAAGTATCCCGGTGAAGGTCACACAAATCAACATACTTTCGGTTGGGCATGGGTGGCAATGTACTGTCACAGCCAAGTATGTTTGTGCAATGTTAATTCCGCCCTTTTCACATGGGCTCGTGTAGACTTGCACCAGTCTCTGAGGCAATAATTATTAGTTTTAATCATAATTTCTAGATTATGTAAATGATAAGAACAAGTTGTCCCATAATGTCCACATATCTAGACTTGCCTCTAAGGAGGATACAATTACTGCACATCCATGGACTTTTCTTTCAGTACAGCCTTGGAGCAAGACCAGGGCTCGTGGTATAAAACCTAACGCGGGACACATAAAACCACATGGACCCCACGTGAAACTGCTACAACTTATGATATATCTACTCAGGATTTATGCTTGTCGTAAGAGGCCACAAACGGGATCGGGTGGTCAGGCTCACTGGCTTGGTTGATGCATGTCATCGATCCCAATTGCGTGGATTGATGCTCATGAAGTCAATCACTGGATTGTCTTTGAGTTGTAATTAAAATGGCCACAATATAATGGCCGGACATATGCTGTTGCAGTGACAATATTATTTTGCATCCACGTGGGTTACATAATACCTCCCCTTCTACATCTACACATACTTTCTCGGTGTGGGTAACAAGGCCCCAATTTGTCAACCCCTGCAGATAGGGGGGGGGGGGGGGGGGGGGGGGGGGGCTCTCTTTTATATAACTAAACCGCAAATCGAAGCTATCCGCCTTTTAGTTCTGTTCTCCTTCATTGTACTGTTAGTCAAATAAAATGTTGGTCTCTTAGATACCGTAGATCATGGGATAATCGCGTCATCAAATTATGTGAAAGTTTACAGCTCTTTAATGTAGATTTATTGTTAAGTTATAAAGGTTAAATTAATAACTTTAATTTCTCATTAATTACATGGTTAAGAGGCTAAGAGGAATAATAGGGGGTAAGTTAATGGAACAAACTAGGGTGTTTAGGCAATTTAATCTCCTCTTCAGGCCGAAGACGACGTGCGTACCATTTTACATAGAAATAAAAGACGTATTCTAGCTAAGTTAAGGTCAGAAAACTCCCTCTAGAAATTGAAATTGGTAGACATTCTTAACCAGTTACACCCTTACATCAGCGTATTTGTAAATGTTGTGATGAGTTAAGATGAGTTACATTTTTTATTTAGGTTTAAACTCAAGACTTTGGAAATTGGCCTCATTTTAAGGATGATTATTTACAAGTAACACCTAGTGACCACTTAATTTTTTATGAGATCTGGATGTCTAGCTATATCAAAAACCTTTGCTGCATCCACTTTTATAATGTATAAAAGAAAACAAAATGTGAATTTCGCATTTTAATTTCATGTTATAGACTTTAAATCCAATGGCGTTTAGCTGTCATATATTACAATGTACGTGAGCATTTTTTATTTTATTTTTTGGATATATGTATAAAGTGGTCATTGGGTGTTACTTGTAAATAATCATCTTTAAAATCTGAGGCCGACTTCCAAAGACTGGATCTTAAATCTGAGAAAATAAGAAAATGTAACTCATATTCTATTCTACATTGTATTTTGATTACAGGATTTACCAATACGGTGATATGAGGGTGGGAGTGGCATTTTGTTTACATATTTATATTTATTATTAAGTAAATAAAATGGAAATGATTTATTTCTTACTTTATTTATTTATTTATTTATTTATTTATTTATTTATTTCATTTATTTATTTTTCCTTTTGTATTTAGCCATTATTAAGGCGTACTATGGCCTTGTATTAATGTAATTTCATTAATTATTTTCACTTGGAAATATATACATGTACAGTATATTTTATCATTATGACTATTTGTATGCAATTTGTGTCTCCTAGGCCTGTGTGGCCGGGTGGTGTACACCATGTGCCTACCGTTCTGTGATATTAAGTGTAAAGCTCGGGACACTTTAATCAAATCCTACTCGTAGTACACTGACAATGAATGCATGAAGGACAGCCATCTGCTACCTCACAATTGATATCCCCAGATCAATGTATTTTGAAAAACGCTGATCCCCCTGTTGGTTCGTGCAGCGAGCTCAGCGCCTTGCGCAACATAGGTGGCTGTGACATGTGGCTCAATGCTGTATCATGTCTGGTTATAGGTGCGCATGCACATAACTTGTAAATTTATGAATTAATTAATGTAGGTAAATATGTCTGCACCTCGTAAGTTTGTTTGGGGCGATACAAATTATAATAAAATGCCTCTGCTAACTTTGATGACAGCAACCTTTCTCCCGCAAATAAAGTCCATGTTCCGTCATTTTATCCAATGCGATACCGAGGACTTATGACTGCTAATGTATGCTTTTTTTTAAATTGCGGCCTAAGAAAAATCGTCCACTGCTTATATAAACAGGAGCACAGTCTACGAACACACCAATATGCGTGCATAAGGGGCACGAGTTGCTATTCCGATTGTTTAAGATGTTTGTTTTGTTGGATGTTTAAGGTCGCACTCAGCAATATTCCAGCTATGTGACGGCGGTCTGTAAAAAAATCGAGTTTTGACCAGAAAATCTAGTGATTGACATCATGACCATCGATCTACGCAATTGGGATACGATGACATGTATCAACCAAGTCAGCGAGCCTGACAACCCGATCCCGTTAGTCGCCTTTTACGACAAGCATGGGTAGCTGATTGCAAGGTTGAGAGTTCGAGGGGAGATTTGGGATATATGAGGTGAGGGGGTGGGGGTACAATGAGTGGGGTGTGTGTGTGCGTGAACCTCCTTGGTGTCCCCGTCGTGGTATTAGTGGAATACTGCTCGAAGCGGGGTATTCATTCATTCATGCAGTCAGTCAGTCAGTCATTCGACCCTATTGTGCATGCGCAGGACATCTAAAAAATGTAATTATTGTTTTAGAGGCCCCCTTAAACGGGACTCCTTTGAGCGTTTTTGGAATTCCACCACATCCGCATCAGCATTTGAATTTTCATTTGCCTACCAGTTAAATATTTTCGACATCAGAGATTACTACTGAATGGAAATTTTACAAGTGTCCCTTTGGGGATTCTTAGGTGAGGTAAGGTGAAATCGGGTTTAACGTCGCGTCCAAGATTATTGCACTTATATAGCGACGTGCATGCACGTGTATGTGTGTGTGTGGCTGCTTGTACTAGTCCGGACTGATGCCGTTTTATAGTGCTAGCTCACTGAGATACCATGCCGCAGTTTAACATGAATACCCCACTCAGACACAGTATACTGACTCCGAGCAGACCAGTCCTTGTTTTAGCCCCTTAATGCCGAGCGCCAGACAGGGTAACAACAAGTACAATCTTTTAACGTCTTTTTGTATGACGCGGCCCGGGATCGAACCCTGGACCTTCCGCTCTCCGGGCGGGCGCTCTACCACAAGATCACGGAGGCGGTCCATTTAAGTATAGACGTACATGTGACGTCGAAGATCCGGGTGCGATTTCCTACGTGAGTATAAAGTAGGCCAATGTTATGGCTGGGAGCATGAATAAATGTTTACTTCAGAGCACTAGTGCGGCGCCTCCAAAGTCCCCCATCTAAACATACCCTGTCCCCGGATCCACGTAAATTCCGGTTGATACTTTGCGTGGCAGGGGGCCATCTACATCTGCACAAGTCTCTAAAGCAATACTTATTAGTTCAAATCAAATGAACTGACCCTGAGAATATTCACACAATGCTGGTGTGAGGATTGCCGAACTAGTTTAGGCTGGAATTCCTGGGCTCGATCGTAGCGCTACCAGTGTCTATTACGAGTTATGTCCCTTTATGCCTCTCCTATGGACCAATCAGATTCCACCCCTCGTATCACTCGCTTCAAACAAAACGGTGGCGCACAGTCAAGACGATCTGATCGATAATCAAGATCTATACTGGTAATTGGTAATTAGTATTTTTATATTTACAGTGCCAGTACTGTAAAATGTATGGAAAGTCACACCTTTTATTTCAGTGGTATCTTAATATTGTACTAAAAGACGACATATTAATCTGTTTTGTGAGTACTGTTTTACGCCGCTTTTAGCAATATTACAGCGGGACACCAGAAAAGGGGTTCACACATTGTACTCATGTGGGATAGCCAACCCTGCTCTCGCCGTGACGCGCGTACCGTGTCTCAATACAATCTAAAGTTAAAACATGTATAACCTTTTTCTCATCCAACAACCCGCGCCGAAGACCCGGGTTCGATTCCCGATATGGGTACAATGTGTGAAGCCCATTTCTGGTGTTCCCCGCCGTGATATTGCTGGAATATTGCTAAAATCGGCGTAAAACCATACTCACTCACTCACTCACTCATCCACCAACCTGTAACTGCTTCGGTCCATGCAACTTAACGGTGGGGTCATTTTGGTGTAGACAAGACTAAGTCGTAGATGGTGGTGTGTTGTCAGAATAGTTCATTAAAAGAGGATTAGGCATAAAATGTATGACGCATATGGCAGTTTAGCTTACGCCAGAACCATTTCTGAGCATTCCCGATCTAATCAGATACATGCAATCAACTTTTTACTGCACGACGAATGAAAATTTCATAACTTTTGCTCTTCAAATGTTCTCCCGTACTTACTAGTGCAGCTAGGGTTCAACAGATATAAAATATTTTTTAAAGAAATCGTTCATGAACAGATCCTCACATCAACATCACT